GAGCCTTGTGATGTGATATTTTAATTCCTAGTTTTACTTTGTTGACATTAAAACGCGTTTTGAATTATTGAATGATTGATATACATCGCTTTTTCTCTACAATTATATGCGCAGAATTGATTCAGACTTGATTTGTTCGCAGAATTGCCTGAAGCTGGTCTATTTTCTAAAGCAAACTTAAACATGGAACTATATGGCCTTGTTCCTAATATAATCAAATTTATCTGTTTTGCATCTTTGACAAGAGATGCCCAGGTCTGACTCGTCTGTAGTGTTCTTGAATTCCCCAAAATCCATAAAGAAAGTTTGGCCCTAGCCAAGGAAACATTCATCCGTCTAACATCAGCAACAAATCCAAGATTGCTAGAGTTAATTTTGGGTGCTTCAGATCCAGCTGCTCTAACTGTTGAAAGCAGCAGGATATCAACTTCCCGGTCTTGAAAGCCATCAACTGTATTAAATTCCATTTCAGCAGTTTTAGAAAATCCAAATTAGATTGGGGAAAAAAAGATGTGATATAAAACTGGAGGACTGGAGGTGTGAAGATCTGGGAAGTAAATAGTAACATCTCATTGGGTTACTGTTGCATCTACAATAACCCAAAACTGTCTTTTTTATTATAGTATGACACATCACAATTTCAACATAAACAATAAGAGATTGGCTGCCTTTCCTGTATACGTTCGGCTAAAGATTGAAAATTTTCACCAAATTCAATATTTCATTCTTTAGCAATGCATGAAGAAAAATTACTTGCCCTCGAGTCAATGAAGGTGGCTTTATAGCCAACACATAAGAAACTTATATATTTTACTCTCCCTATTCAACCAGCTTTCTTCAGTTCTCCAATCTTTTGAGAAAAGCAAAGAGGTTACCATGATATTAGAGAACAACTTAAAAGATGCCAGACTCAAATCTTAAATTGGCAAAAGCCACTTCAAAAACTCGAGTTCAGTGTTTCGTAATACACATTCTACTTCTCTATTGATGTCGAATATGGTGAAATTTTCGAACAACTTAAAAATGATATTCAATCGCAAGCCATATTCGTTACCGGTGGATAAAGAACTTTTGCAAGATATTAGAAGTTAGAAGAATATTTTTTAGTTAGCTTCAGTTGGCAATTAGTTATGCCAGCTGGTAGTATGCTTTATTTCATTTTTCCTGTGCTTGCACCTCTTTTTCCTTCTATTTATATCTTGTACTTGGAGACTTTTCAGAATAGAATGAATATTTAATTCTTCTCTGCAATTCCATCTTTGAAGTTCTAATATGGTATCAGAGCAAAACCTTCCAGCTCCTAATTTCTTTTTCTTCGAGCTATTCTATTCCATTCTACTGTAATGGAGCCAATACAAAATCAAGCAGATTCTGATGTGAATTCATCCATGAGTAAGTCAGCTATTGATGAACCATCTAGTCCATTCTTCCTCCATCATTCAGACCGTCCGGGATTAGTACTCGTTTCCCAACTGCTTACAGGAGAAAATTATGCATCGTGGAATCGTGCGATGACAATCGCACTTTCGGTGAAGAATAAACTCGCATTCATTGATGGTTCGATGGAGAGACCAAAAGAATCAAGTCCTGATTTAGTCAATTTGTGGATCAGAAATAACAACATAGTTATTTCATGGATGCTCAATTCGGTTTCGAAAGAGATTTCGGCTAGCATTATCTATGCGTCTACAGCTCACGAGATCTGGAATGATCTCAAAGAAAGGTTTCAGCAAAGTTATGGACCACAAGTTTTTCAGCTAAGAAAAGAATTGATGAACTTAGCTCAAGATCAAAACACTGTTAGCGTGTATTTTACGAAGTTAAAGACTGTCTAGGAAGAGTTGATTAATTTCAGGCCTAATTGCACTTGTGGAAAGTGCACCTGTGGTGGAATTAAGGAGATAAACAAGTACTATCAGATGGAATACATCATGTCATTCCTCATGGGGTTGAATGACTCAATTTCTTAGGCTAGAGGACAGATCCTGCTTATGGATCCTATACCGCCTGTTAATAAAGTTTTTGCACTCATGGTGCAAGAGGAAAATCAGGAGAAACTGAGCACACAATCGTTAGGAAATGATGCTAATGGTGCTGCTGCTTTTGTTATCAGATCTGAAAATGCAAGGCCAGTGATGAATTCTTTTAGATCTGAAAATGTGAAACCGATGATGAATTATACTTCTCGAAATGATAGATCTAGAGTTGGTAATTTTACTAACTTCAGGAGGAAAGAGAAGCCTTATTGTACTCACTGCAAGTACCATGGCCATTCTATTGATAATTGTTATAAGATCCACGGATACCCCCCTGGTTTTAAGCCAAAACCTAGGGAATTTGGTCAACATTACTCTGCTAATAGCCGTGTTAATCAGTTGAGCACTAATAACATCAACCAGAATCCTGATAATCAACTTGGAATGGGAGATTTTATGCAAAATCTGAACTCAGATCAATACCAATAGCTAATGAACATGTTGTCAAGTCATTTATCATCTAGCTCAAAGGCTAATTCTACTGATCTGGATAAACAGAATACTTTAAACACTACAGGTATTTGTCACTCCATATCAGTTTCTCCCTTTA